AAACAGAAAACCCTCCCCCATATACTCTCCCATAGAAAAAATTAAAAATTAAAAAATTGCGCTCAAATTTGGTGAAATGCTTGCATTGATTACCGGCGCGACGTTTAACTTTCAATTTTTAAAATAATGGCCGACAGATTACTGTTGCGTCGATTGTACACTTGTTAATAATAATTAATAATAATATCAATTGTAAGAAACATTGCAAACAATATGCGAAATGATTGCAATAACGACGGGCGGACTGGAGTACACATTAAGACAAATTATATGATAATTGAGTTGTTGTTGAGATTTCATAAATTATATTCATATTTCGAAGAAATAATTTTATATTCAAAACCTCTGTTCAATAAATTCATTGGTAATTAAATGATTAAAAAAACAATGTCTTGAAATTAAATGCTTTTATTTTTTAAATAATAAAACAAAATGCAGTATATTTTGTGTTGATTTTCACTCCTTTTACGTAAAATAAGACAATTAGTGAAAAGATAAATAAAAATTGTTGTTTGAATGATAGGTGGAAGGGCTGAACATTTTATGAACAAAATTTAATTTAAGTTTAATTGTTTTATAATGAAAGTGTTTTTTTTGGTAAATTGTATGAGAGATATAGAATTTACTTTTAAATACTTTATTTGATTTCAAAATAAAAGTATATAATTTCGTAATTCATAAATATTTTTATCTAAAAATATGTTTTTAATTTTATTATTGAATTTATATTTTAACTGCAATTTTGACTGATTTTAAATTAAAATACTTTTGTTAAACATTCATAAAATAGTTCAGAGCAGACATATAAATCATATTAGACTTGTTTTGCATAAATAGTTTTATTCGTTTTATTTGTAATATTAATAATTAGCATTTAATTTGTGAATAACATAATTTTACCAGTATTTGTTACAAATACGTTTGCATACATAGAAATAAATATATATTAATATAATATGGCTATAAATATGAAATAAAAATCAATTCATGCATTAATGCTTTTAAAGGGCAAATGTTATTAAGACTTTGCGACACTTTATTAACTTTGTTTTGCGTTAGAATTACATTTGGATACAAATCTAATCATATATTGATTTAATTCAATGCATTCAATGAATTCAATTTACAGGAATTTTGTTGGGATCAAACATATAATGTACAAAATTTATTGCACATCAGTTTCGCAGACAAAATATACATAAATAATAAGCCGTGAAAATGTTTTTTGTAGGAATACTTTCATTCATTTATTTCAACCCATTTATTGGATGCTATTATATGGTTGTGAAAGTCTGGCGAAAGTGTAAGTTTTAGTGACAGATGTTGTGTGTATTATATTTATAATTTATATAAGTATTTAAAGTGTTGGCCGACAACAAGTGTGAGAGCGATATCTGATTTTATACAACAGCGGTATTAAATTATTTGCCCTTTTATTATGCATATAATGACTGTTTATGTAAAACAGATGCAAACAATTGGCGAAATTCTTTGCGCAAAGATTCCCATCTCTTTTCAAATGCGAAAATATAATGTTGAACCCAAAGGTGAAGCAAAAAACTACCGGTGCTTACAAGTGCTCACAAATGTCAGGAAGTTTACCACATATTTTTCTCCATTAATTACTGTAAGATACAAAAAATATAATTGTAAATAAAATATCAAAACATTATTATTGTTATTATTCTGTAAAAGACAAAGCAATCAAAATCCCAGATTATTTAAAATTAATAAAATATGAAATTTCACAACTATTTTATTATATATTTTATTAATAAAAATGAGAAAATAATGTAATTTTATTTTCTATGTTGTAATGAACAGCAGAATAAATGACAAACACTTATATTAAAATCTATTTACCATTTATTTTGATTATTATTATAGCATTATCTGTATTATTCTGTCTATGAATTGAGTTTTTGTGTTTATCTCATCTCTGATAACCGGCGAGAGATTGAGAGAAAAATTATGAAAAAAGGAAATCAAAAAATAAAATAAAACTGAAAAGAATTGGGACTTATTTTTTGATTATTATTTTCTAGATATTTGATGAAAAGGACTGCAAATACAGGAATACAGGTATGGATAGCGTGTATAGTATTATATGAGCGGTTGGTTTATTCTTAGGGAACGCCTTCCACGCCATAGACTCACTGCGAAAGCCGTGTATTTAAGTCAGTGGTGGAGAGAGGACTGGATATTACATTCAATCGATAGATTTGTGTATAAATAAGCGTAAAAAACATATTTTACTCACTGTTTAGCTACGGATTCTGGTATTCAAACAGTTATCGCTGATTAAAGTAGAAAAGCAGACAAAACTGTCTTTCAATTTATATCCAATTTATTAAGCATTGGTTTTGTGTTTTCAACTATAACCGGTCCTTAATTAAGAATTACTCGAAGAAAACAATATATTTTTGTTTTCTTTTATATTTAATTGACTTTTATTTGTTATTTTAATGCAAAACAATTGATTTTTTATGATAATTATATATACTTTTGATAAAAACACTTTCAAGCGTTTCTTTCATGTTTTTGTTTATTAATCATTAAAAGTGCAAAAGTATTGAAAATAGTTTATTGATTGTCATTAAAGGCAAGAGAATTGTCAAATACTTCTTCTCTATTGAAGTACTTTTACTAAAACTGTTATAGAAGTCTATATGAGATAATTGTTTCGGTGTTACAAACACTGAACTAATTGTTTTAAAAGTGGTAAAAATTGCTTTAATATTCACAACGAATTTCACGGTTAATATTTCGTCAATTTTGTAAGTATTTAATCATTTTCTTAATTTCATGCAAAATATTCAATACCTTAACAATAAAATAATTTATTAATATTCACTATTAATTAATATTTTCTTAATTATAATTAATAAAATAATTATTTATAACATCCACTTCTTTAATGAGTAAATAATTAAAGATATGTTCATATTTTAAGTGTATTTTTATGGTTTTGTATTTGAATAATTGAATAAACAATAAAATAAATGTGAAAATGCACTGAAAAATACTTGAATGAGTACTACTCTTACCGCCAGACTGTTTGGCTTTCATTGAAGGCAAATGTAGTCGTATAGTGGCTTAACCACAGATTTATCACAATTCATCGATAATATATGATTTATTGCTAATCTATCGATGAAATAATATTTAAATGTTATATCTGGTAACTATTTGTTGACAGATTTACACCATTTATTAGTAGTTTTCCTACAAATTTGCAATTCATTGTGATTTAAAATCAAATACTGTAATATGTAAATTTTCCATATTTTAATTAAATCATCTAAGTTTGTTTGTTATTAATATTTTAATGCAATAGCTGCTAGGGTGTTTTTATATATTGGATCTATAGTTGGTTAGTAACTATTTTATTGGTTACAAACGATTTTAATGCAAAAAGTAAAATTATTAGTTTTATAATCTCTGATTTGCATAATTAAAAACAATTTCATTAAAAAATTTAATGTTAAGAACTAATTATATAAAGATATTTATTTTACTACATCATTAAATGCTACAAATAATAAAAATTTTCAATTGAAAGAAAATGTTGACCAAAACTTTCTATATTGTTGTTGTTGTTGACCACAAGAATATTTTTAATACTACTCTCTTATAGAGAATATTTGAACAATTTAATTGACCCAGGGTAATATTTATTATTATTTAGCGCTTATCGCTTCCACACAACATTTAATTTTCTTAAATTTGTAGTGAATTTGTAGTTAAAACAACTACATGATTTGCATATGAGTAATACAACCTTGTTATCTGGTTACCAGATACCTTGTTACCAGATCACATCCTGTAAACATGCTATATAAGCTCATTGTAACAACAATTGCATAAGCATTCTGGATTCAACTCTCACCTACTTCAAATCTATTTCATATAATAAAAATTACAATTCATAAAACCTACTAGGCAAAATTAATAAGCAGATTATGGATTTATAATTGGTAACATTTAATAACACAATTCATATTTTGTTACATATAATAAGAATATAAGTAACAGGTATGCCATGTATTGACCCATTTATTATAATTTCCGATTTATTGACAAATTAATAGCAAACAAATTAAAGTATTTAATATACAGTTAATAGAAAACACCCACATTTTGCAAACATATAATAATCTATTGTAAACTCAAATTACATCAAATCTCTACTCTCTATGAATGCGTTTTTTGTTTGTTTTATTTCTTATCTCAAAATTCATATTTAATTACAAAAAAATATTTCATTTTTATAAAGAATTTGATATAATTTGATACGTTATTCAATATTCCGGACATTATTACCGTATCTCACAATCTTTATCGGTTTAATAAACGTTTTCTCATTTATTATAACTTTAATTAAAATGCTTACACAATATATAAGTACTTATAAAACATAATTTATTAATAAAACATTCAGAATATTCTTTGTCTGAAATATGACAATGCATTTGGATTAACAGAATTCGGGTTCAAATATGTAATAGAAAAACGTAATAAAATAAATAATTTATTAAATTACTGGACTATACAGTATATTAACATAAATCAATAAGTCTTTGCATTTACTTAAGACTCATATCCTTTACCGAGAATTATATAAATTATTTGTTAAACATTGAAATCAATGTCAACCCTCTGTTCCGGCTTTTATATAATTCATGACTTATGCATCCCTTTATATTATGTGCGTTTAAAATGCTATTAGTTCTGCATTTTATGCTTTTCATATATGCATCAAATATTCAATTTTATAAACTATTTTAATATAACAAATATTTATTTTAAATAAAAGTAATAAATATAAATCAGACATTTATTTAAAATAAAATATAATTTCAACATAACCAACCTCGTTGTAAATGGCATATTATAATGTATTGTGAAATTTATTTCTATTAACCATTGGTTTTATTTTTATTAAACAAATTCTAAATGGATGTAACAATTAATTTAAACACAAATAGTATTTCATTATTCTATTAAAAAACAATTTCATTTCATTTAATGCAATCATTTTTGTGAATATTATTTTATATAAAACATCACAATATTTAATGTAAAGTTAGGTAATATCTAAATGCTTTTAGTAAAACACAAAACTGTTATATAAATCTAATTGTTTTTATTAATATAGATTTTTTTTGGTAAGAAAGCATTATATTATGATTTGTTTTTTATAAATGAATTTCACTTAAAATTATTAAATAATATTAATTTTTCATTATATTATTAAATAATGGTTACAGTATTCAATACTATTTAAAATAGCGATTTTGTTTGGTATCTGTTTATTACATTAACCTAAAAGCATTTTATATAGATTTAAAAAGCGTATTATTGAAATTTTATTACCGGTTTTATACCGGCATTATATTATTTATTAACATATTTATTATAAGTTGATAAATATTATGTTACTTTTAAGTGTATCATACATATTCGTTTATTATATTGTCAATGCAAATAATATTTTTTATATTAAATATACGAGAGTAAGTAAGCGAGAGAGAGAGAGAGAGAGAGAGA